CCAAGTCAAGGGTTGAGATCCCCTTACCGGTCATCTTTTAAAAAAAAAAAAAAAAAAGAAATTTCTGGTTTATAAGCCACCCAGCCTACGGTATTTTGTTATAGCAGCCTAAATGAACTGACACTATATGCACTATATTATGATGATTTACTGTCTCATTCCTATTCTCATACCAAGATGCCATCCATTTCCCCATCTTAAAAGCCAAAATCCATCTCTTGATCCCTCAGCCTCCTCCAAGAGCTGCACCCATTTCTCTTCCCCCTCTCATAGCAAAATCCTCAAAAAAAAAAAAAAAAAAAAAAAAAATCAAAACTCTCTGTCTTCAATTTATTTTCTCTTGTTCTCTCTTGAACCTGTTTTAGTCAAGCTCGTATCTCCACCACACTGCTCACACTGCCTTTGCCTAGGTCTCTAATGACCCCCTTGATGCCTAAGCCACAGGCTGATGTCCCGTTCTCATTGTACATACATCATCTGTAACCCATGTTCTTTCCTCCCCCACAATATTTCATTATGAAAATTTGAAAACATACAGGAAAGTTGACAGAACTGTAGCGTGAACACCCATATACCCCACACTTAGAATCTACAATTGATCATTTTACACTCCTCACATTTTCATAGTCTACGTTGTTTTTGTGATGCCACGTACACACTGAGGTGTAAACTTTGGGGCATTTTTCAGCTCAGTCAGCTGAACTCTTCATCTTATTCCTGTGATGGGAAAAAGTGAGGGAGGGCCAAGTAGAGGACAAGGAGTAAGCACCTCAGTTTGTCAGATTTTATGAGATTTTACTTTGCCAATTGATCTATGGTTCAATTTATATCACAACTCTCTGGTTATTTATTTTTTTAAATTTCAGATAATACGATCAAGGAGGAAACATCCGAGCCCACAAAGAACAACCACGGTTTTATAGCGCATTCGATAGCCCTAAGATCTGACACCTGGAATTCAGGTTCATGAAATTCTATCCTAAATTGCCCTGTAATGTCCTTTTATTAGAGCACCACACAACTTGAGACCATCAAGGCAACACTTGAATAATGAAACCAAGGCCTTTCAGCTATATAGATGACATATTGTTGCTATACTGAGTCAGGAATCCAGTATCTCTACAGAGATACAGGGGGCTTTGACCAAGGACAGGAGGTAGACAAAAAAAAAAAAAAGGGAGTCAGGGCTTGTTGGGAATTCAAATTATATTTGTTCACAGCCTGTGTAATCTAGCCTCAACATTTTTAAAAATTAAGAATGCTATGTTTAAGGTATTTCTGATTTTGTCTTCTATTCCCTTTTGTAGTAATGATATGATTAACAAATATATTGACTGAGACACACAGTTAAAATGAGAATTTTTGAGAACTTCTATTTTTTTTTTCATTTTCAGAAATAATTCCACATAGACCTGCTCTTTCTCAAGTCATTTTAATTGCATGTATAGCTCTCAGCATTGCCCTGATATGTGGGATCACAATCTCCTATCTGATATAGTAAGTATATACTAAATAACATCTACTATCCTAAATAAGATATAAAGATTAACTAGGTTATTATTTAGTGGCAAAGGATGATGATTCTGATAATGATGATGATGATAATTCTTATAAATCGACAGTTGATTTTGGAGTTTTTTGTCAACCCCCTTAAGTTTTGGACCCAATGTGAGTACCTCATTTACTCCTATTCCTGGCTTTGATCCATGCTTTGGGATTATCAGAGTTACTCCATACTCCAGAAATAATCCTGTCAGCACAGAAATTTGAGATCTGGCTATGATTAGTCTGGTTTAAAAGTCTATTACTGCCTCCCTCTCTCACCTGCCACCATGTACAAGCGACTCCTTGCTCCTTTCCAGTCAAAAAGTCACATGATTAAGACATAATTTGCTAGGGCCAGCCCATGGCTCACTTGGGAGAGTGTGGTGCTGATAACGCCAAGGCCACAGGTTCGGATCCTGTATAGGGATGGCTGGTTCGCTCACTGGGAGAGTGTGGTGCTGACAACACCAAGTCAAGGGTTAAGATCCCCTTACCGGTCATCTTTAAAAAAAAAAAAAAAGACATGATTCGCTGTGAAAATTGTGCTTCTAAATTATCTATATTATTCTCCAGTAGACTGGTACAGGCTGAGGAACGACAACAACTTGAGTCACTTTATAAAAACATCACGATACCATTACCCAAAGATGTAGAGAGGGCCTCCGAGGAAGAGGGCCAGGATGAGGCCACTCACCTGCTTCCAGAGAATGAGATGGAACTGGAAAAGTTCATTCATTCAGGTAGAGAGTTGGCCAGTTTGACTTGTCAGATCCAAAGTCACAAGAAAGCTAAGCTGGCAGAGATGGTTTGGTTTTCAAAGGCAAAGATAAGTGGTAGTTAATGAAGTTTGAGGTAAGAAAACTAATATTTAGGGCCACACATACAGAAAATTATACAGAGGGGTAAACAGCTGTGTGGTTGTTTGGTTCCTTTTACAGGGAAATTCCAAGGATCTAGAATAGAGTTCAAGAAACAGACTTTTTCCAGGACAAAACATTTCCCTTAAACATACTTATTATTCCTGCACTTAGAACGTAGGCAAGCAGATATTCCACCCGTACCATCTGCTTCAATCTGAAGTGAAAATAGGATCCCACAAAACAGAGGTCACTACCCCAGGTGAAATACCCCTGTATAGAGACACCCACCATAGACATATGCTGCATACCCTCGTGAGGAGAGGGCAACACAGATGCTCATGTAAACCTGATTTTGTAGAAGTTCTGAGATTTGTGTATACCTGTTTTAAAAATTCTAGAGCAAAAACATGCAGCAATGCAGTGTCTGATTCAATCATACTAACCATCCCCCACATGGGTTTCCTAACAATTCTGGACACAGACAGCCTGAAAGAAGCTGAAAAGCCAAAAGTAGAATAGATCATTGATGCTTACTGGGGAAGGCAGCCCTTGTATCTGTAGAAAATATTTATTCAACATCTTCTCATTACCTTTGGATTATAACTTTTCAACACTTTTTTTTTTTTTACTGGGCATTTATAAAGTCTGAATATAGAAAATGGGAAAATAATTTTAAAATCCAATTTTTACCATCCTCCTCAGACAAGTAACATTCATCATCCCCTGAAAATTCCACTTTGGTACCTTTATTTTTCCATATTTTTTCCTTCACCCCTTTTGTCTGATTTCTATTGCTCATTTATTAGTATATTGATAACATTATTTCTACATTTTAGTTATTAGATCAAAAAGAAAGAAAAATCTTGAAAAGAAGAAATTAAGGGAACAGCAAAAGTTAGTAGAGAAAAATAAAACCAAGAGTGCTATGTACAGTTAAAAAATGGAGCATTTGTGAAGGCAAATGAAGGAGATGGAGAACGTGCCGGCCAATGCAAAGAAACAGTTGCAGGGATGACAGGCAACTGAGAGCAGGAGCGTGACTTGCTCCCAGAGACAACCTTGTAGAAGAGCACTCTAAAGAAAGAAACACCAGAAATATATAACAGAAAATAAATTCATATGATATGGAAATGTTTGCTTCTTGGCTCTCATAGTTCACGAGTAATTATAACTTGATTGGAAAATAGAAAAAATCCAACTTTCTTAAGGGTAGAAGAGAAATTGCCGGGATTTTCTTTTCTTGCTCCTGACCAGAAATACTGTACAAGTAATATCTTTGGGCAGTCCCTTAGACAATGCTAAGGAAATGCTTTCATTAAACAAAATTTTCCCCATGATGTTATCATCAATTCTATGAAGTAGCTTGTCTTTATTTTACACATGGAGAAACAGGATTTCAAAATAAATATGACACCAGATTAAGACACAGTCATCCTTGTCAGGTCCCAGCTCTGTGGAGGAAAATAGGCCAGAAGGCAAGGAGCTACAAAACATAGCCAGAAGAAGCGAGTGCTGTATACTTCATGATATTGATGCATGATATTTTTCAGCAATAAAAAAGAATGAAGTATTGGTGCAAACCTCAAAAATATTATGCTAAGTGTAAGAAGTCAGTCACATATTGTGTGATTCTGTTTATATGAAATGCCCAGAATGGGCAAATTCATAGATGCAGACAGTAGATTAGTGATTCCAGGAACTGGGAGAAGGAAGAGAGAGAAAGGCTGCTCATGGTGTGGGGTTTCCTTTAGGGATAATGAAAACGTTTGAAAATTCGATAGTAGTGATGGTTGCACAACTGAACCTAGAGGTCTCCTGACTCTTTCAGTTTCCAGAATTCCTAAAATAAAATTTAAAAATTAGAACAGATTATGTGACAGGGGAAAAGTGGGACTGTGTATTAAAAGTTGGGACAGCCCAAAGAATCTTTCAGCCAACAGCTTGAACCCGCCTGGATAGTGCAGGCAGGAAGGAATTACATGCAAGATGAGCAGCCCAATTGAGAACAGAACAAAGTAGCAGCCAGGGGACCTCAGTGATTCACAACTCCTGGGGCCTGAATGGACTTTCAGTGTCCCTCACTGCAGCCTCATCCCTTTAGGCAAGAGGTATGCCCAGACCCTCTGAGATAAAATCCTAACAAATGCCATAGATTGGGTGGCTTAAGCAACAAACATTTCTCACAGTTCTGGAAGCTGAAGTCCAAGATCAGGATGCCCACATGGTTGGATTCTGGTAAGGGATCTGTGAGTGTGTGTGTGTGTGTGTGTGTGTGTGTGTGTGTGTGAGAGAGAGAGAGAGAGAGA